CGGCGGCGGCGGCGGAGTTGCCCAACATGGCGGCCATACTTCAAATAATAGGTTGATAGAGACATGCAGCCTTGGTTAACCGTGTACTTCCGTGATATTGGACATCCATGTTATGATCAAGTGACACCTGTCAAAACAAGGTATCCGCTGACCAGTATCACGTGACAATATCACGGGCTCAAATTTACAGCTTCTCGAGGTCACGTGTTTTTTTTTAAAGTTGACCGCTGACCAAGTGCTGATTATCGATTAGATCGAGGGCTCATATTAGGTTAACTTGTTGGAAGCAGGGCATGATTGTTCGGAAGCCGGTTAACGCTAACCCGGGATTAAACGTTAACCGAATTATAACTTTCTTACAAACAAATGTTTTTTGCTGTTTTGTTTTATGAATATGGTGATTATTAAAACTCAAAACAGGCCAAACAATAAACAGAAAACCTCACCACAAAGTTACAAAACTCAAATCAAAACTCTACCTTTTTCTGGGTTAGCTTAATCGGGCTTTGAACAACCCGGCCCAGGAGCTACGCTTTTAGGCTCGCCTAAATCTATATATTATTCAACCTAAAAATCTCGTGAGAAGTTAGATTCATTCAGTTCGTCTATCCTGTCAGAAATATCCCAAACAGAATATGTAAGACAGCGTCAAAATTCGAAAAGGAAATTTTAAAAATGGGCCATTGTTTAGTTCACGTTCTCTCGAATATGCATAATGTGGCTATTTCACGTTGGTGTTTTGTGACCTTTTGTAAACAAGGGCAAAGAAATGAACAAAGAATTATAACGCACGCTTACACAGCCATTGTATTCGTTGCCGTTAAAGTTTGCTTAATTAAACTCCCTAAAACCGAATAAACAGCCAAATAATGAACAGCCAAACGAGAACAAAACACAACCTGGCCGAAAAAAAGACAACTGAGAGTACAGAAAACATCTCTGCTGTGAAACGAAATCAAAACATATAAAATGACGGTCCCGCCATTTCGTCTCAGGTAGTTCCGAGTAAGTCGATTCGCCTGTCCACGCATCGCGCGAGTAGCATCCTCGGAAGAACTGGGTACAATGTCTAAATATAACTTAAAAGGGATTACCTTGGTTAGAGGACCTAAATGGGGGATTCTCTCTCTTACCTTGATAATCTCTTCGCTACAAGTACTGCAGTAGAATACTAAAATGTTTTCTTTTTTTTACTTCTGTCTCTTGCTTATCTCGTAGGATGATAATGAACAACAATCTGTCAGTAATCCCTGAAGACACTTTTGCTGGTTCCCCATTGTTAGAGCTCCTGTAAGTAATATGACGCATGATGCAGGCAATGCCTTGATCCATTCTAAAGTTCGAGCGCGTATGCAACGTTTGTTGAGCAAATTGTTGTGGACGGGAGGAAGAAACAGTATAATGTTACATTCACATCCTTTAATGTTCCCAACCCTTAACCCTTACTATACTATACAAGCACTCAACTAAACCAGAATACACCGTATTCGCAAATGGCGGCCCTCCTAGGGCGAGCGAAGGGTCAAACGCGAAAACGAAGCGTTGTAGGATAATTACAGATGATCGGAGAAGTGACTGGGTTAACATGTTCGTTTTGCTTTGAGAGGATGATATTCCTGGCCTGGCTCATCTCTAGCTGGCAGAAACCCGGCAGAGCTAAAAACTGAAGAGTTATGTTTTTGGCTCAAATGCAGAAACGATTCAGCGAAAGGACTGCGGACAAAAGATCGTCTTGTTAAGCGATAAGCATTAGAATTATTCCAGCGATCGAACGGGAGCTTGGATGTTTATACTGTTTATGCTAGATCGAAGCTTAATGATTCTGCTGAATGATTGTTTCTGCATTTGCGCCAAAAACATAACTCTTCAGTTTTTAGCTCTAGTTTTTAGAAGCTGATCGCCGGAATAATTCAAATGCATACCGCTTAACGAGTTAAGCTTTTGTCCGCAGTCCTTTCGCTGAATCGTTTCTGCATTTGAGCCAAAAAAATAACTCTTCAGTTTTTAGCTCTGCTGGGTTTCCTCTTCAGGGGTTGATAATCCCCCAGGGTAATGCATGAGAGATGGTTATCCTCTCTAGGAGGTGATAATCCCACAGAGTAAGGAAAGGTGAAAAACAGCTCTGTTCTGTGCTAGAGGGGCACCTAAACTGTCGTTCTGCTAGGCTAAGAGTGACGTTATTAGGATCTACTGTACATGTGACAGCTTGCACATTATTGGCTGAACCAGACCATTCGACGTGAGCGGATCACGTGTAGGAAATGACCCATGTCAGGAAGTGAACTAGTTTTATTCTCTTTGGGGGGTCTATGGTTATCACATTAACTTTAATTTATATTGATCTATTAATAAGCTTTTATTTGTGTTTCCGAATTATCAACTGTTGGTCTTTTAACCTACGTCGACATTGCTTACCTTCAGGGGTTGTTAGGTGTCTACAGTACTGCTTGGTCTTGTTCGAAAAAAATTTGCTTGGTCTTCTTAGGCTCGATTTAGACGATACACCAAGCCCGCGCTGATTTTTCCCAGCATGTCAAGCGTAAATCCCATACAACTTTCATCACTGAATATGGTTGTGCCTACAATTGTCCTAGGTTTTTTAAGGCGTATTAAAATGTTTCAACATATTTGCTAATGTGGAAACGTTGTATTGTCTAAACCGACCCTTAGAGACAATTGAAGTATCAACTACCTAAAACGATTTCACAAAAATGTCTGACGTGATCGTCTGAGCGGGAAGAGTCCTAAAAAGGACCGCTGACGGTGACTGTAGTTTCCACAATGAGATATCTTGAGAGTAATCTTGACACTGAAGATTACTTCCGTCTCAGGAATAGATGAAATGTTACAAAAGAGCCATTTCCAGCTCCCTGCATGTCCCAATTGTTTCTGGCTGTTTCCTTGGTTTGATTTGTTTCGTTTTTAGGTTCCTTCATGGAAACGCAATCAAACATATTGATGGTAACGCCTTTCGTGACCTTCGTAACCTTCAAAGATTGTAAGTTTATTACCCAACTGGCAGCGTGAGAGATATCACTGAATCGATATAATTTTCAATTACCCTTCTTGTTAGCAATTCAATTAAGGATACAAAATGACTTCTCTTTATAATCTTGCATCAGTTAATTATAATTCCAAAATATAAGAAAGGAGTTTTACCAGATCTGAAATCCACTGCATTCTGTCCGAAAAAAGGATAGTCGAATTTTTATCTCGTATTTGTTTTATTTTTAAGTTATTATTTGAGTCTTTTCTCCAGTAAGTCAGAACTGACATTTGGAGTAAATCGCGATATTTTCTAGCCTCAAATTAAAATGCTGTTGCATTATTAAGAGTTAAGAAGTATTTGCGCCTTCTACAAATGGTAGTCAAAAGGCGATATCAATAAAAGCAAGCCACATCTAGGAACATATGCATAATATCGGGGAAAATTGAACTGATAACATTGTAAGGACTGTTGCTTTGTCGTTACGATAGCTCAACAAAATGTACAATTGTGTTTATTGTCGTAGCGCTATGATACAAGTTGTGTATTCAGTAAGCTTGTTACGCTAGACTAGCCACACTAATTGATGTTTTATTTTCAGGACACTCTTTGACAATCCTCTACAATTTCTACCGGTAAAGATATTTGACGAAATGGCATCTAATATTACCTTGTAAGTACAGAAATTACAAAAGTAAATTCCATGCAATGAACAATACAATTGAGTTATTATTTTTCTAATCAGAAGCATATCTTTATTCAGTGTGGTCTTTTTTAATTGATATTTACTATTGTTTTTAAAAGTGCCCAGATCGTACACTGAAGACTTGAGGATTGTAGATAAACTTGCATAGTATTTATTTGTATTGTTGTATTGTACTACGAATGTCCTTGTGCTCTGTAGACAGTTCTCGCACGTGATAATTCCCGTCGGCGAGAAAATTGAAATTAATAAGGCTTTCAGTGCTATTGTGCATGGTTCAAGAACTTAATGCCTTTCAGTAAACACTTAACCTCGTGTCATTAAAAAAGGTAAAGCCTGCATACCAGCCAAGTGGCTCATCAGGCCGGAGATTATCCCGGTTTCAGTACCATGAAGCGACTAGGAGTATTTCTACCCCCCCCCCCCCCCCCCCCCCCCTGGATGGGATGCTAGTCCATCGAAGGGTTACAACCAGCATTAAATTTTACCGGTACCCTGATTTATACACCTGGGTGCAGAAAGGCACTGTGAGAGTAAAGTGTCTTGCAAAAGAACACAACACAATATCCCCAGCCAAGGGCTCGAACCTGGACCACTCAATCCGGCGAGCGCACTAACCGTGAAGCCACCGCTCCTCCACAGACGTCAAAATGTGGTAAGAAAAAAAAAAATGTGGCACACGAGCCGTTAGGCGCCTGAGTCACTGATGTTCTCACCATTTTTACTGAACAGACGTACGGCAACATGAAACCTATATATTACAATAAAGAACCTAAAATATGCGAAAAAAAGTTCTTGACAAAATAATAATTAAGAACTAATCAAAATGCGACAATAACATCACTTGTTATATAAAAGGTGACTAATTATCATGATAATATAGCTGCCAAAAGTGAATGTTTAACTGCAGTAACGAGCGGTTATATCGTACAAAGCGCTTGGAATATTGGCATTTTCTGAAGAAGGCGGGAGTGTTGGTGAGTTGAATAGGGAGCTGATATAGAACCGGATCACTGAGATCTTTCTTTATAACTTTCGGGGTTCAGATCCGTGATGAAATTATGTTTGCAGTGTGAGCATCCTGACGAAATAGCAACACAACAGCATGAACATAACGACATTTCCTTATATCTTTATGTCGATGTTCACATTACCGACATCAGTGATTATGTCGTTATGTCATACGTTATGTTGCCAGTGTGAAACCAGGCCTTAATGATAGAGGGAGACTTCAACCTAGTACAAAACATGCCACTCATTTTAAATCACCGTGCAGGAGAAAATGAAAAGTTCAAAGCAAATATGGATCTGACAGACATTTGGCGCGACCTTCACCGCAACATTCAGCGATTTACTTGAAGAAGAAATATACCAGCAATTTAATGTCGATTATATTTTTACTTAAGCAGTGCAAGCTAATTTACCGATGCACTTAAGGTGGATATTCTAACAGGCTTTAAAACCGATCACTCTCTAATAACTTTATCTCCTGCTACCAAAAGAAGCCCCAGAGGACCAGTTTTCTGGAAGTTGAATGGCCACTTTCTAAAGATCATGCGGAATATGTATTAACCTCTTCAAAGAAACTCGAAAACGAAGTGGGAAATGATTACAAAGCGAACCACAAAGTAGACACAACACTTCTATATAATGTGGTTAAAATGCAAATCAAAGCAAACTCGACCAAGCATGCACAACAAAAACAAACCGAAAAGACTCTGGAGACCGAAACCCTAAGGCCGGAGCAAAAACTCGAAAATAATTTTTCCGAAGTAGAGAAGTGTGAAGTCCGTACGTAACTGGAGTTTAATTTAAGAGACACGGCCTAGAGTTTAGAGTACTTTATCTACTTTTCTTACTCTCCTTAACACTATTTTTTAATCACAATTGTAAATTATTTCATTAATGCTATTTATCATCTTCCTTACGTAATTTGTATATATTTATATGTATTCTATTTTTTTTCTGACACCTCTGTAAAATTAATGTTTGTGAAAGTTGCCGGATTAAAATTGAATTGAATTGAATTGAATTGAATGGATCGAAACAAGGTTCTAATATTAGGTCCAGAACACGGTAATCTGAGGGAGGGAGATGGCGTGACTGAGTGGTGTAGGGCGCTGGATTTGAAATCTGAAGGTCCTTGATTCAAATTCTCCACCCTACAGCTATAGTCTGGATTTGTTCTCGGTAGTCCCGAGTTCAACTCCTCGACCATGTTGTGTAAATAGCCAACTGGTCAGCCTCCTAACAGTTGGGTTATCAGTTAATTTGCAGTGTTTGTTTGTATATTTACAGTGTCCCCAATTAGCACAACAGTGCCATACATTTGACACTTAAATAAAGTTATTTATTTATTTTATTTTATTTTATTTTATTTTATGTAAACGCCAGCCTAAATACTGATGAAGAAATTCTAAATGAAGCCAAACGATTTTATCAGACACTTTACACGTTAAGCAAGAGCTCTTCATCAAAAGTTCCTGGCGAAGACCTCTTTTTTCAACAAGATAATCATTGTAAAATAAGTGATGACGAAAACATTTTTATGAAGGTTTGCTAACGGGTGCAGAATGTTTGGGAAATCTTTTAAGACTATGGGATCAAACAAGACACATGGGACAGTTGGTCAGCTGGATTTTATAAAGTCTTTTGGAATGAAATAGTCCTTTTTTCTCGCCTCTGTTAAGGTGGTGCGTAACAAAAAATTAAGACCCTTGAACACTTGTTAAAAATATTTTGAAATGATCTTGCCGAATTTGCCCCTAGATAAGTGTGAAATTTAAGGAAAGTACACAGTGGTATAAGTTTTTTTACGTAGCAACGGCCATAGCAACGGCTGTGTACAGTAAGAAAATGACCAAAAATATAGATTAGTTTTAACATACATGTATATGAAAGATACTTTGTAGTTAAGCTGTAAAGAGATGCACAGCTCGATTGGTATAATTACTTGGGAAAAGCGTTGCCTGATTTAGCATCACAGGCTTATTCATTTCCAACAACAACAACAACAACAGTTTATTTCTACTACTGTAAACAACTAAAAGAATTTACAAGATTATAATTATAAATATATAAATAAACAGTACAGTACA